TTAGTGTATGAGGTGAAGAGGGGGCATATGAGGGATTTTTGGCTCTTAAACGGGTGAGTGTATAGGGTGAACAATAGGGGGCATGTGAGGGATTTTTGGCTCTTAAACGGGTGAGTGTATAGGGTGAACAATAGGGGGCATATGAGGGATCTTTGGCTCTTAAACGGGTTAGTGTATAGGGTGAACAATAGGGGGCATGTGAGGGATTTTTGGCTCTTAAACAGGTTAGTGTACGAAGTAGCCTATTGACTGTTAATGCAAGGTAAACCTAATATTGCTTCGTCATTCGCAATGACATTAGAATTCACTATAACTCGCCTGCGTCCGACCTCGCTTTCGCACGTGGCTGTGTAGCTCTATATATGCCTGACATGTCTCACGTGTCGCCATCTCACCTCGTAGATCAACGTCGACAATCCGGTGTTCGGGAAGCAGGAGCAGGGCCGGGACGACACGCTGGCTAACGAGATGGGAGTCATCCAGGAGAAACTAAAACATCCGAACGTCGTGAAATACCACAAGGTGTTCAGCGACCGTGAGTATGGAGACGGTCTGTGCGAACAGTTCCTTATTGTGTGCGAACGTTTTCGATCGTTGATGTATTTTTAGCTCATCTGACACAGTCAGATGGAGTTTGTACAATGGAACGAGCGCCTGTCCGTCCGTCAACAGTTGGGCGCAAATCTAAATGGCTTGACGTATGGTTTCGAAATTTGGGACATGGGGGGTAATCCGAAAACACATTGGGATCTTGAATCTGGGGGTCAAGGGTTAGGATGTGTGCAAACGTTTTCGAGTGTTGATGTATTTTTTTATGTTATTTTAATTTGAGTTTGGTCGTGTGGCGGTAATACAAAACTATGCAATGTAATGCGAAAAAATGTATCACAATACTAGTTTTTACAATGATGTGGATAAAAGTTTATACAATCCTATTTCTTTACCTGAATTACATGAGATACTGCTATGATATACATATATATATATATATATATATATATGTATACTATATTGTGCAGGTAATCAGCTGTTCATTCTGATGGAGCTGATAGAGGGCGCTCCGTTAGCAGAGCATTTCAGTTCCCTGAAGGAGAAGGCTCAGAGGTTTTCCGAAGAACGAATTTGGAACATTTTCACACAGGTATTCAACCTGATTAATCTCAATTCGACTTGTGTATGAGATGAGAAACAACTGTACACTATTAAATGCTGTACACACGGTGTATGTGAGTTTGTGAATTGTGACGTGGAGCATTTCAAGTTCTGTAAAAATGTAGTAATAGCTAGTTTGCGTGAAAATTGTCTATGAATCTATAATAAGATCGTATTTGCTGTATGACAGATGGTGCTTGCACTTCGCTACTTGCACAAGGAGAAGGGGATTGTACATCGAGACTTGACTCCAAACAACATCATGCTGGGAGCTAATGACAAAGTCACGATAAGTAGGTGTTTGTATGTGGTTACTATACTAGTTGTATGTTGTATGTTGTATGTGGTTACTATACTAGTTGTATGTTGTATGTTGTTATTATACTAGTTGTATGTTGTATGTTGTATGTTGTTACTTGTGTTTAGTAGAGACCATGCAACATCTGTGTGTTATGAGTTTGCAAATTAATGTTTAATGCCATGCATAAATTGTAATCTTCACCACGATTGCACTAGATAGATACTTGACGAATGAAAAATGTGCGATATTGTTAGCAGCGGTGTTAATTATATTGCAGCTGACTTTGGACTGGCGAAACATGCGCATAAGGAAATGACTTCAATAGTTGGAACAATAACTTACGCCAGGTAGGTGATTTAATGAGTTGCTGATCGTGATAGAGATTTGCAAACAGGGAGTACACACATAACGTTGTTATTGCTGCTGTTTCAAGATTGGGTGCTTCTATATATATTGTCTGCATCTAACTACCTCAAAATTGTCTAGTTTTCTTCTTAATTTTCTCTCGGCACGTGAAAATAATTTACAATTATAGTAGGAGTGAATAAAAACGTGTTACTTTTACTCCACCTGATAAAGTATCATATATTATTATTTATTTATTTATTCATTATATATTTTCCCTAATTCTCCTCTGATAATAATTTGTTCTATCGATTTTCAAAGTGTTATTCAGAGAATTGTTTGCGATGAATTTGGAATGACAGAATGACATTACAGACAGACCAATGACAGAACACGTTCCTGTTTTGCGCTTGCAGTCCGGAGATCGTTCAGAACCTTCCTTACAACGAGAAGGTGGACGTCTGGGCGGCTGGGGCCGTACTGTACGAGATGTGCAGACTGACCCCTGCCTTCTACAGTACCAACATGCTCTCACTCGCAATCAAGGTACAGTTTACCATAGAGCGCGTCCTGTTTGCTATATGAAGCAAAAGTAGTTGTACAGATGGCTTTTTTAAGTCTCCATCTCTCACTCTCTCTCACACACACACACACACTCTCTCTCTCTCTCTCTCTCTCTCTCTCTCTCTCTCTCTCTCTCTCTCTCTCTCTC